GATTAACCTCCAAACTTCTCAGCAAGTTTTACATATGCACAGTGGAGAGTATCCTGACAAACTCCATCGCAGTGTGGTATGGAAACGACACCACTCAGGACAGGAAGGCTCTCCAGCACAACTCATCTGTTGAGTACCCCTCCCACCACTACAGGACATTTACAGCACTCGGGTCAGGAAAAGGACACACAACATCATCAAGGACAAACTTCTTGAATCGCTTTCAACACAAAGATAAAGAAAATAAACAGATAAAAAGAATGTAAATAGATGACTGAAACTTTAAAGAATGTGAAGACAGTGGAACCATAAAAGGTGATGCTCGTCTTCATTGGTGCAGACCTGCAGCTCTGAGGCTTCTTGCTTTGGAAATCGGTCAGCTTGTTTGTATCGGAGCATTCTGCACCTTTATAATCGCATCTTCAATAGAACTTGCATAAGTAAACAACAAAATAAACTTGGACTTTAAATAATTTCTGAAAGCTGCCTGAGAAGTCAGCTTAGAAGGACGTATTTATTCATGTTGCGTTGCTTCATTAGAGCGACACTCACCAAGTTTCATGAACAGGGCCAGGAGGATCCACAGAGAGATCTCAAAGGGCGTCCTAACATGTTCATAGTTGAAGGAGAGGACGGGGAAAGTCTTTTTATGAGCCGTGGAGTTTGCTTGGCTACGGGAATCCTCTTGTATCGTTCCGGATGATTTTTCTGAAACAACATCATGACTCGCGAAGCCACGAGAGAAGAAAACGAGAAATAAAAGGCACAATAACCCCGTCAGTCGCAGAGTGGAGCTCCTCCGGATTGGATCCATTTTCAGCTGGTCTGAAGGATGGACCGCCGCGGCTGCTGTTGCTGCTGCTCAGATCCGAGGAAGATGAGGGTGAGGATAGGATGGGAAGAGAGCTTGGGGAGGCACGGAGAAGCGCGCACGTTTACGCACAAACTCTCCAGGCATGTTAAAATCACGCATAACGCTGTCTTCTTGCCATCAGCTGGAGGTTTTACAGGTGGTTTAAACCCACCTGAGTCTTTAGTTGATCTCGATTTTCTTTCCTCCCCTTTTAGTGCAACTCTAAGAAGTTACATTCATCACATGGATTTCTATCTTGATCACACCCGCTCCTCTCTTCCTTCACGGGCTGCTCGAAGCGAAGTGCCACCTGCTGGAGTGGAAGACCAAAACCGGCCACCAGGAAGAGTACAATATTACATTGCACTTCTGACTTTTTGTTCTGTAGTTTTACTTCTTAGATTAGGTTCCAAATTAAATAAGGTATATAATTTTAATAATAGGTAAATTAGGGGTGTTACACATGGATTAATAAAGTTTCTGCTGTGTGGGTGGGCAGCTAGAAATCACTGGTGGGCAACATGAGTGAGGAGAAAACTGGAGCAGCCAAGCAGGGAGCTGCAGGTTGCTGGTTTGAGTCTCTGTTCAGATGCTGGTGTCTCCTCTCTCTGAGATGTCTGCAAACAGTCCCAGATAAAACAATAAGGATAATAAACAAACACGTGACTAAAATAACAATTATGACTCTGATGTGTTTCATGTGTAGCAGGATGGCCTCTATACAGCAGTCGCTGCAAGCATCCACATCGGCACACTTCCTTTTCTTTAAGCAGGCGTGCTGGGCTCCTCCTAAGGAAAGTGTGAAACTTCATTTCCTTCATGCTGGTGAACTTTTTACCAAATATTTTCATCAAAGCTTTTCCATCACTGACAGGGATTGTTTGGATCTTCACACTCATCTCCACCAACCCTAAAAAATGAGTCTCACTTTGCTCATATAATGCCAGGAGTGTCTCCATATTTCACAAAAGTCTATGCAAACATGTAACAGTATCCCATATTCATATAAATATTATTGATATTATAACAAAAGCTATCACCAACACAATTGTCCCAAGTGCTTTTTTTATTAGTTATTGCAAATGCTTGATTGCAGTTCTTGCTAGATGACAAAACCACTTATTAGGTTTAGAAGGAAATGACTTTTTCTACATGAGGTAAAGTTGGAGAGCTGTTTCCCCAAACTAAATGAAATCATCATTTAAAAAACTACAATCTGTATTTACTCTGAACATCTGTGTTAACGTTTGAAATTGTAAACATGTAAGTGTAACAAACATGTTAAAACATAAGAAATCAGGAAGGGGCATGTATAGGAATTTCTTTTACTTATGTATTAATCACATTATTTTATTGTATGATACCTTGGTGCCACTGGATTTTAACATGTCTCACACTCATACAGTAAGACAAATGGTGGGGGTCTAGTAAGGAAGTTGGGGGAAGCAGGCAACTCCACAGGAAGAGTCTTTTGTCTCTTTGAGGACTCTGGTAGGTAGCAAGGGAGTTTGAACCTTAAGGTGTGAAACAGCTGTGTACTGCCTTTTGTTCCTGGAGAAGGTATTTAAAGTCACCCCTAGTTTGTGGATTTGTGGTAAGCCATAGCTGTAGCCTCCCTGGGTATAATCTGTTGCATGAGGTCCAGTCAGTAGCAGCGTCCTGCTCCATCTGCTTCAGATCGTGCCACCCTTTTCCTGCAGCCACCACCTGGACCTTATTTTCAGGGCTTATTTCAGAATAATTTTCTCATCAGTCGGGTTTAATAAAACTGTACACCTACCTTTCACAAGAATTATTCTTCTCTGTTTTAGTTGGTTATTAGACAAACTCTTCACCCACTCATCCACATCCTCAGTGCGAGTCTGGCATACATTGCTCTGCCTGCAGCCGAGGTCCTGGTTTATAGTATGTTGAAGTACATCAAACTTCTCCCTGGAGGCTATGACTTCATGATGTGCTGGATGAGCCTTCTCAGTGAATTCAATCACCTGTTGAAAACCTTCCTCATCAGAATCTGCATTGAATCATTGAATCCGTTCTGCTTTAGATTTAAACACATCGATTGCGTTTGTTTGTCTGCATCTGAAGCTGAAACTCGGGTAGTTCCTGTAGTCTGCCATCTCCAGTGACATTTGCTCATACTCACGTATCAGTTTTAGGCAGTTCTTACACAGGTGAGGCAAAATATCATCATGCATTCCCAACAATCCAGGTGGGGTGGCTGACCTCAGGCATGCCTTTTTCCACACCACAACAGGTGTAAACAATTGGCAATTAAGCTGTGGCAACACCCAGAGACTTGCACTGGCACTGCAAGGCGAGTAGTTTCAGAGAGATGTAGCACAGGGAAATTGTTAGTATGCACATCTTACGTACACCTTTCAGGACCTGGATTATTAATTATGACTATTAATATAAGTGATTACATTTCCCACTTATTTTAGGATCAATAAAGTTAAACTAAATAAAGTTAAACTAACTCAAAATAAGAAGATGAGAGAATCAACGATGAGTAAAGGAGGACAAGAGCGAGGTAAAGTCAGTGAGGGAACAGGTAAATAAACAGGAATCTTTTAATCTGAGTGAAGGCTACACATATCATCCTAATTATTTTAGATTCTGCGGGTCTGCAGACTCAGACGTTTGCCCTGCTCACAAACAAACATAAGATTTATGACCACAGTTAATATAAAGAGATCATGGTCTCAGTTTGCTCTTCAGTTATCTTATTGAGTACAGCATGTGGTTCATTCTGTAATTTGTCGTCCCATTAGAGTCAATCAGAAGGAAACAACAGGGCACAGCTGCTCTGTGATTCACACCACAAGAGTTGTGTTTTCTCTTCCTCAGTTCACAACTCTGTCCTCACAAACAAACAGCCTCGGTGGCTAAAGATCCAACTTTTATTTACACTCTGTGCTCACAAATGAAAGTCAAACAATAAAATTATGAACACCAGAGATGTTGAAATGTCAATTCTAAGATGAACATGATCACCATGCAGTTAACAGGCACTAACTAAATTTCCTAGAAGCTCTTTCAATATAATCTCGATCTATATTAGAAGCATCAATTTTATGGTTTTGTATGTCTTTATGTTCAGGAATGAGACACAGAAAAGGACAGGGTGTTATTCGGTGTCCATCTGGAGGCAGATGTGCTGATATGATACAGAAACAAGTCCCATGCAGTGACCCACAGGAGGGCTCGGTCATCTAGATCAGCAGTGATATTGTAATTCCCCTATTTATTACTGGGTATCATCCTTTACAGCTCTGAGTCACTCCCAGGCCTGATTGGAAAGAACCGATTCAAAGCGTCACCCAAAGCGAGAACCGGAAAAGGGAGTCTGTTCATCCCAACATCCCGGACCATTTGACAAACTCATGTGAGACCGAAGAATCAGTCGATTTGAAAATAAACTCATGTCACGATTCACGCCTTGCAGTAAAATCACTTCCTCTGCTGGAGCTTCAGTCACATTAATCACCCCATACAGACTGTGCAGTCGCCTGACAGCATCCGTTTCCCCTCAGACCGTTTCCACATGGATGAAGCCTGAGAACCAGAGAGCGCTTTGAAAACATTCTGACTGATGTGTCTGTCCTGTCTGCTTTTACGGGACAGAATGGTGCGATCCTGTTAAGCTTTAAAGGCTTGTTGTCCTTGAGCCGAGAAGCACCTGAATGGACTGCAGTCTGCTGTTTGAAAACATTAGTCTGCACACAGAGCTCAGAAAATGTGAACATTTTTATTAGACGCACAAAGAAGTGTAGATATCTCTGAGTTAGCATCTTACATTTACAGACATTTTCTTCAGTAAGTCGTTCGAAGATGCTTCGAAGATGCTTAGTGTGATTAGTGAAGAAATACTCAGATGTGATGCTGCTTAATAATTTATATAAAAACTATCAGAAATGCCTGGAAGGGTGTGTTTGTGACTAATATTAATGAATAAAATAACTTTGTAAGATTTTCAACTTACATTAGTTTTGCTGGATGTTTCTTCCTGTTAAAAAGGAGTTTTTCCTTCCCACTGTCACCAAAGCACTTGCACATAGGGGGTCTAATCATTGTTGGGCTTTTCTCTGTTTTCCTTGTATTATTGTAGGATTTTTAGCTGACAATAAAAAGCACCTTGAGGCGACTTGTTGTGATTTGGTTCTATATAAATAAAATTGAATTGAATTACATCTGTATTATACACATTTTTAAATTAAAACTAAACTCTAATGCTGTTTGTTAATTGATGATTAACTGAATTAAAGTACAAATCTCTGATTTAATACGCACTCCTTTTAAAGACATCCTGCACACAACACGTAGGGTTATCAAACTACAGCTTCACACATGCGACATGCTGATGACCGACTCACATTTTCCTTCGGGGACACTTAGATTTTCCTTCTAGCACCAAACAGACACACCCACACACATAAACACACTCCTCCTCCGCTGACTTTCTCTGACGTTCACAAACACATGTCGCATGAACCGCAGAAACTGAACCGGTGAACAGGTGAGATCTCTCAGGCGTTTGGCCGCTTCAGCTGGACTCTCTCTGACATCCGCCTGGCGCTGTACAGAGACACTCCCATCCCCACCGCGGCCATCGTCATGGCGATAGGATCGATGAGGCTGCTCTGCGGCTGAATCTGGACCTCACCCGACATCTGCCTCTGTGGACGAGGTGGACACACAGGTGAAGAAAGGCTGTTAAAATATTCTTACTCCTCACTGAGTGTTTTCCTTTCAGTCACCTAGGGACTGCTATAGTGAGACACTAAAGCTTTCAGTGAATGCTCCACTTGGGTAATAATTCATCTGGCTGATGACAGCTTTAAATGTTCACGCTGTCCAATAAAGTTAAATTCAATAAAACAAAGGAAAGGCCCCAGAAGGTGCTTTAATTTCCACACCTTAAATGAGACTGATAACCGGGACGATAAATGTGATGCTTACATCATATATAACTTCTTTGGTTGGGTTTAGGAAAGGTCATGGTTTGGGGTAAAATTAACCCTTTTACCACTGATGATGATGAGTTGGAAGTGACAGATTCATCTCATCAATGTGTGTCAGGGCACAAATGCTTGCTTTGACAAAACAGCACTAATAACGGTAATAAAAATGTGTGGGCATAAAGAACACAAATGAATCCTGATCCCTTTATTTTCCTGGTAACATTTCACTAATGTAAAAATAACCAACACAAATGACCAAATCGTGATCTCGAATCAGTCCTCACGCACCCTCCATAACCGACTCCATCTCCCCGTGGACCAGCACTATTTCTCGTTTATTATTAATAAATACCCTCTAACTGGATCTTAGTTTGTTTCTTTACATTGTCATTCTGTATTTCTTTAGTCTTTTCAGTCTTGAGGTCTTTCTTCGAGTTACTGTATATATCAGAGTTTATTAGTTTGCTCAGATTTTTTCCTCATATTAAGTTTACGTTTGTGTTTCACTATTTGGTTATGATTGCTTACTTCCTGTTCTACTTTATAAGTCATCTTCCGTGACTCGTAATACATTTTACGTCCTCCCCTGTGATTGTGCTGATTGTCTGCACCTACTTCTTGTTTTTCACTGCTGTGTTCACATCCCCGATTGCATTTCTGTGTATACACAGCGCCGTCTCACCCCGCAGTCCTTTGCCTCACTGTCTCTTCTGCATGTCTTCAGTTAGTTTTCCATTTTTTTATTTTCAGAGTGGATTAATAAAATCTAATCATTGTTAAAGTAACAAGTTTTAAACCCTTTCCAACTTCACTACAGTAGCAAACATCATAACCTGTCATCTGTGCATCTGTTGGACATGCCCAGGAGTCCACATAACTCCACCCTTTAGGCGTGACAGACCTACCTCCTTACCACCAGACACAACCTGCTTCACTGCAGTTTTTTTCAACTACTTTAATATAGCTTAAATTAACAGTATATGAAGGAATTAAATTAGACACAAAAAGTGTGATTTAATCGCCCGATGGGCCAATGGAGGGAAAACTTTTCCTAAAACCACTGATGTGTCTTTGATCTGTGAGCGATTAAAGATCAAATTGATATAAAGTAAAGGCTAAAGAAGAAGTCACTCATTTTTTATGAAGGTAAACATTAAATCTACTCACCTACCTCACCACCATTTTTGGTACTTTTGAGAACTGAGCAGGACGACAGCATCAGTTATTTTTCTGTTGCTGGAGTCTGAACAGCTTATATAACATAAACCCTCCAGAGATGGAGCTTTCTGAACATCCTGTCCACTGCTGCTGTTTGTCATAGTCTAAAGTATCGCTATTAAAAATGTATAGAAACCATAAATTATTCATTCAGACTCAGATTTGCTTTATGATAACAACAGCTAGAAGACTTTTCTGTGCACACACGTTTACTGATGAAGAACCACTTAATGATGAAACATGGATGTAATCAGGAATTAAGAGTCACAAACCTGGAGGAGGCGGAAGTATCCCGGTGTCAGTCTTCCCAGTCTGATCATCATTCCTGCTGCCTCAGTTTCTCCGACGGGAGAGGAGCTTCCTGCAGGAGAGGAAAACTCCCATCCCTCTTACTGTTTTCATTAAGTGAGCATTGTTAGATGAGATTTATGCAGACAGTATGGCTCAGTTTCCCAGACATGGACTTAGATTTAAAACAATTTTCAGAGGTGATCTTCCGTGAAATTTTCTTTTAATTTAGGACTAGGCTCACTCAGTGTCTGGCAAACTGGCTGAATATATTATGGTTGCTTTGGACGCCTTCACTGTTTGACGGGAAAAGCCCAAAAATATATAATTAGATGCATTTCACAGAAAAATAAAGGGAAAAGACACATTTTTCTTCCACATCTCATTTATCCTGCTGTGACACCCTCCAATTTATCTCAAGGAGAACTTAATCTTCTTGATGGAAATCAGTGACTTTAAAAACAGATTTCTGCCTCACTTTGAACTGCCTGGTTTATTTGAGGATGTTTTTAATAGATACATATTTAAACCATACTCAAGAGAAGTAAATCTCTGTGGAGAAATGAACACTTAAATTTTATTTTGAGCTATTCATTGTAACAAACCTAATACGTTGCAGACAACATAAAACTGTCTTTAACCCAACTAGTTTAGTCATATTGAGGTAATTCAAACTGATATCACAGCCTGACATAAGTTTTGTCACATCTCAGTTTCAAAGCCACTAAAGCAAGGAAATGTTTGAGGATATTAATTTTTTATTAATATCAATACCTTATTTTAAGTCTTCTTGTTTAGTATTTCTAAGGCTTACACTGTGTGACCCTTTAATAAACAGTTTATAACACATTTTAAAATGTTTTTGGACGTATTTGCCTTAAGCAGAAGCTAACTGATGACAGTAAAAGCTGTAATTATATAAACTTTTACTTTATCACTTTAACAGCTTCATTATAATGTGTTATAAGCCATTTATTGTTGGTGTCTCCACAGCGTCATCAGCCTTCAGGTAAAACATATCAGCCTCACAGTTTGAAGTTAGGAGGTCCTCGTGGAGTTGATGAGCATCCAGTTGGGATCCAGACGTGCCTTCATCGACGGCAGACGGACCTCCGGCCCCGTGAAGCCCCTCGGCAGTCTGAGCAAACAGGGGGCAGCCTGACGTGCTGAAGAGGGTCCTGTGTGTCCCTGCTCTTTTGTACAGTGTGCCACACAAACACTCGCAGCGCCGCATGAAAAGCTCCGGCCTGTCAGGGGTGATTTGGCCATCCAGCCAGTGAAACGGGTGAGAGCGGAGAGAGGAGGAGAAGAAGAAGAGGTCGCTCTGTGCAGCATGTTGCACGCTTGAAGGAACATGTGTGTTAATGCACTGCAGTCACTTATGTAACCCATAAAAGAGAAAATACTTTTTAACAACCCAGCAGTAAAAAGTTTAATTTTTACAGCCAAAAAAACTGCAGCATTTAATGAGAGCGTTAACCTCGAGTGGATGTAATTACACTGTGGGCTTATTATGTTTAAAGGTAAAGTGATGTTACATAATGCAGCGGAGTCTATGAGGCCACATTGATTGTTCAGGCTCTCTTTGTTCGTGGTGCAGGAGTGGTTACATAAATGCAGGATGAAAACATACCAAAACATTAGAATTTTATTTTTAACGATTTAAAGATTATTGTTAATAAATCTAATTACTTTATTAGTTTTGATGCAAAAACCATAATTATTTGGAAAAAAACAACAATTTGAATTTAAAACAGATTGTACATGAATGCTCTGTGCACCGAAATAAGTCATGTTAGCTCCAAAGGAAAGCCAAGTTACTGCTTCTCACAGTCGCACTGAGAGGACTTGAAAAATATGTAAATAAATAAAAATATAATAGTCTGGTTATGGCTCAGATAAGTCTTCAGGAAATTAAAGTAAGCCAGTGTAACGTTGTCTGAAAGGACAGAGACTGTGTGTGTATAAAGGGCTGGGGTGGTGGGCTAGACTACAAGGTGTTGATTGTACACATGGAGTGACCTCACGTCTGCATCTGCTGCATCCCTCGAGAGCCACAGGAACCAGAAATGTAAACACTATAAGCAGCTTTCTTGAATTATTTTTCTTTTATCTTTCTTGTTTTCTCTTCCTGACAAGTTGGTTTTCTTGTTCTAGCCTTAGTTTTTAGATCTTGGTCTGTATTTTGCTTCGGTTCCTATTTTGAGTTTAGATTGTCCCAATCTGTTCTCGTCTCTGTGTTAATGCTGTTGGGTTCATGTTTAATGTGAGTTTTCTTGTCTCTGTGTTTAGTACGTGTCTTTTTTATGCAAGCTTGTTTCTGCAACAGAAAAAGAAAAAAACATTTTGCCAGGCAGAGCAAAGGTACAATTTTAAGCTATTTTCTTTTTAAGTTAACAACCCCAAATTGTGTTTTTTAGATGGTGGATACAAACTTCCATACCTTTAGGTTGTTTTCTCTTCATTTTCCTTCTGTTTTGCTCTGGAGTTTTGAGTCTCCACCTGTGTCTAATCCCTAATCATCACTCTGTCTAGAATTACACCTTGCACTCAAAACAATAGTACTTGTCCTCATAAATATGAAGCAATAACTGTGAGTAAAATGCAAATTATTCAAATTATTAATCAATAAGGTAAACATGCTTGGTATAAACTGAATGCACACCAATTAAGTAAATTTCATTTAACCATTAAGTTTAATGTTTAACATTTCACTTTGTAACAAAATTACAAAAAAAACCTTGCATAATTAACTTACTTAAAGTCTGCATTTTTGAGTATTATAATATTATTTTTTTAGTGTGGGTTGTTTGCACTGAGTCACTCCTTCACTGCCCTTTTTTCCCCCCGTTTAAAAAAAAACCCGTATGTATCTTCTTGCCGATTGGACTCAGTTATTTTGGACTGCTTTAAACTAGTAAAGTTCACTTTAAGTTGTAATGAACTTTCTGACCCCTCTGCTCTACTCATGTATCTTGACAATTCCTGTAAAACACCTTAATGCAGTCTTTACATTAATGCAGTTTAATTTTATGAGCATACAGCACAATAAATGCTGTGACATGACAATGTGAATGCCTTGTATTAAGAGTGACTTCGGTAACGTCAGTCTGCAGAAGACGCCGTGCTGAAGTAGTCTGGGTTTGGTGTTGTTGGTTCTCCTTTGTCCTGACTTGGGGCTCTGACCGGCGTTCTTACCAGCGTCACCTTCACTCCTGCCGGACCCTGAGCGTCCGTGCTCTCCACTCCAACGACGTGTCCGATGAAATGCTGAAACACACCGAAACAGAACGTCAAGACTACAGCGAGTTGCTCCTCAATTTTTAAAATTTTGATCATTGTTCACAAATAACAGGAAAAGAACTGAATTAAAGATAAAGAAACTCTTTTGTATCTAACAACTCTTTACAGAGCATATTCTGAAGGGCATCACATTTCACCAAAACTTCAGATTTATATTTGGTTATCACCTTAAAATATTAAAAGTTTGCATAATAACTACCGGTACACCAATTCCTCACCACCATTTGTTCTTACCCCCTGCGTATTTAAGCTGACTTCATGATCATTTTGTGCTTTGTGCATTATTAGTGCAGAGTTAAGATCTACTGAAGTTATTAATTAGTGAAGTCAAGCTACAGCAAGTCTAGTTAAGAGTATTTTCCTTTGTGCGTCGTACTTAACCCTGTCTCCCTGTCTACAGAGCTTCCTGGATTTTCCCCCGTGTGATTCCCGTGTGGCAGTGTCGGAGTGTAAGCCTGTGATCGTGTGTGTGGATGATTTGAATTTGGACTTCCCTGGAGACCCCTTCTTCCCTCACTCAGCTGTATATAGCACCCCCCGCACCTTCTTGTATATACACCTGGTGAATTGTAAATAAATCCTTCTTGTGAGCATCAGAACTGGAGTCCTGCGCTTGAGTCCTCCTCCAAACCGTAACATAAAGTACGTCTAATCTCATCTTATATATTTTCATTCATCTTCTTCATTTATGTTATTGGGCCCCTGAATGTCAGGATTTATCTACTATTAAAACTAATTTCAGAGATGCTTTCTAAGCCACAAACTCCAAATTAAGCTGAAATTCATTACATGCATTAAAAATGCTCATTCTCAGAACCAGAAAATGAGCTATACCTGAAACAGACTTTTTTCTTTGCTCCATTTTGTGAAAATAAGATATGAGATTTAAGTATTTTAATCAATTAAGTGGGTGACCTGTAAAAGTCACGAAAGGTTAAGTGTAAAGACCTCAGCAGGGCGGATAGCAGCGTCCTCGTGCTTTGGTTTAGGTCTGGATGATTCGGCGTACTTCTCCCTCTGTGCTTTTACTTCCTGTATACAAAGCGCATAACAAAAATATACACTTACTACTTATACTGAGAATCTAGATATTATTATTGTTATTATTATTATTATTATTAGGATAGAATTTATAGTTAAAAATCTTTAAACCTTCAGGGCTTCATAGTTTGAAGTTCTGGAAACATAATCCTCCCATGACTTCGCCATGAACTCCTTTTGCTTCCAGCGAGACTTCATCTGCGATAAAGACAGAAAAAAGTCAGAATTCATTTTACTATCAAATCAATTTTATTTATATAGCACTTTTAAAAACAACAACTGTTGACCAGAAAATAACAATAAAATAATCAGATAAAATTTAAAAGGAAAGTAAAATAAAAGATAAGAAAAAAATAAGAATAAAATAAGAATTTTATCATTAATAATAAAATAATGACAAAATAATGACATTTTTACTCTTTGGCTTTTAATAAGCATTATTAAAAGCCAAAGAGTAAAAATGGGACTTTAAACGAGTTTTAAATGTATCCAGTGTTGGAGAGGTCCTGATATGTAAAGGCAGTTTCGGAGCAGTCACAGCAAAAGCCTGATCTCCTCCAACTAAAACAAATTGTCCCAGAGGATCTCTGCTTCTAGTCAAACATACAATGAAAACGTTTTACTAGACATACAAAAAAAGAAAGAAAAAAATAGAGTGAATTTGTTTGATTATGCATGTGAAAATAAATCTGATTATTTGTATAGTAGCTCAGGAAGAAAAAAAAAACAATCTGTGTAATATAATTTGTCTTTTTGGGGTTTTTTGTTAAAGAAAAACATTTTAAGCTGACTTTCATGTAAGCTATTTCCACTCCTTTACTCCGTACCTCTGTGTATGTGAGTTTCTCTTCTCTGATGTCCTCCTTCTGATGGTGCTCCAGGATGCTGTTTTGTTCCTCCACGATCCTCTTCGCCGTGTCCTCTGCGATCTTGCAGATGGTGCTCAGAGCCTCCTGGTCGGGGCTGATCGGCCTACCGCCTTCCAGACTCAGTTCCCGGCTGATCTCATCCCACACCTCACCGACCTGCAGCACCACAAGAGACAGACATGTTGATGTTTATCTCGGTTTATGTCCTCTGCATCTGAAACCTTTAAGAGAGCTCCAGACTCCTTTAAGTCTTTACTCCCTGTGACTAACGGTTATTTATAGATTGTTTTCCTGACAGACTTTCACTGCCTGAGTATCCAAAACTTAAGCTGCTGGTTCAGCCACAGTAAGACAAAATAAGTTGGTCCCTCAGAGTTCTCGCTCTCTGTATTTTGTTGAACGAGGACTTTTGTACTTTCACTTTGAATATCTCTACTTTACTCACAGCTAAAGCTTCATATTAATTTCAGGTTTGAACAAACTTTGAACAGATTGTAAGTCTGAGCAACTATTATATGAAGCATCAACAGTATTTCCTCTTCACTTTTACCTTAAAGTCTAGATATCTCCTGATGATGGTCAGAGTCACATAATCTTTTCCCAACAATCCAGGAAGATCCTGAAACCCTGAAAAAGGAAAAAGTCACAAATACTCCCGTTTGCTTTTTAATATAACAATATTAGCTGTGCCCAACAACTGAATGTTTTGAACAGAACATCATGATATCATTTTATTACTCTGATATTTCAAAACTTCAAAATATCTTCAATCAATAAGTGATAAATTTCATTTAAAAAAGCCAAATTGAGACTGAATATGATTTGAAAGACTACAAAAAGAAACATGTAAAAATAGCCTTTTGTTTTACAACCTTCTGGATTTTGTTTTAATGGTATTTTTTTATTAATAAAAATAAATACTAAATAAATAAATATGTATAACTGGTCTATAGGAGGAGCTACAAAGAAATTGGGCTAATCAAATAATCTAATTACAAAATCTTCTTAATAAATACTTTACATTTAGTATGAAACTGAATAATTTGTTTGGTTACCAATTTTGCAGAAGACGGAGTAAATCTTCGATCGCAGGTTCTCTGACATCTCCAATACTGCAGCACTCGGCACATTAGCAGGAAATGAAAGCTGAGCTTCATCCAGCTGGAAAAGACTGTGGATGGGCCTCTGAGGATCTTCAAGATAAAAGAAATAACAAAGAGAACTATATGAGATTACAGAGCCAAAAGGACCTAAAATCTGATTTTTACCTGCTGGCAAAATGTAAAACTTTTAAAACCTTCTGTCTGAGACGGAGAGATGAAAAAACAAAATCCATCAGCTATGCAAAAACATACAAAAAAGTATTTTCATTTACATTGTTTCCAGTTATATTTAACCATTCCCTGCATCTGGTTGGCTCAGTGGTACAGAACGTTATCGTTACATAAAAATGTCAGATAAAAATCAGATGTTTATAAAATCCAGGTTGGGAAAAGAAATAATGCTGTGTGTGTCGAAGTCCAACACAGACAGTGGAGGACAAAGCAGAGGCGCCTGTAAAAGACCCCAAAACAACATTACAGACTAACAGGATACTTTAAAAAAAAAAAAAATTGCATCAGCAGTTTAGTGGAAACATTTACCTGTTAGTGCAGCAGAAATCTAAAAAACATAAAGTTCTTTATTTCGATTTGATATCTAATTGAAAGAAAAAGGTGAAATCTGTTCTCAGTGCGATGATCTGAATCAACATGGAAGCATCGCAGACCGACCTGCGATGCTTCCATGTTGATTTCGAGGAACTCCTAGCTCCTCCTCTTCCTCTCTCCACAGCTGCAGCAGGAGTCTCGGAGCCGTCTGTCCGTTGCCGTCCCTCCACGTCAGAATGTACGGCACCGTGTTCGGGTTGTCACATAACTCTAACAGGGTGGCGAGGACGACACCGTGCACACACCTGGGGCTTGTCTGCAGGAGAAAAGGACGTTTATATTACCTGTGAACGCTGCCTTGTATGAACTAGCTTTAACACAGAGCAGCTGAGATCCTATTTTTAATCACAAAATACAGGAAGAAAAAAGGAAACTTTTATAGCCTCGACAGTAAATTCAGGAAACTTTTACTCACACTGAGTAAGTTGAGGAGAAGAAACACCCCGTCTTTAACCAGAAAGTAATCTTCTGTGGTGTAGCAGCCTACGACACACGACCTGATGGGAGAAAAGGCGCACAGACAGAAACTTTCTCAGCTGTAGGAGACAAAAAATAGACCCCTGATAGTTGGCTTGTAATTGCAACAAAAAATGTGCTTGTTGAGCTGCTCGCAGGTCCATAACAGAACTGAAAAATCAAGATCAGACCCGTATAACAAGTGTTATGATGACCTGAACTCGAGGTCATTATAACAGATCTCGAGATTCTGTACTTTTATTTCTAATGGGGTAGACATCAAATATTTCTCCAGATTAGGTTAAAATTCACTGACCCTCTTCATGCTGATGGTCATATCTGTTACTACACCATAGCCTATGGATAAAACTATGATTAAATGTAGGTAATATTGTAGAAAGTAGTAAATAATGTTTCCCAGAAAGTTGATTCTGTTCATATGGACCACAATTCACTCACGTTCTGTGGACAAACACATCGAGTTCACCAGGGAGGATATGAAATAGGACAGTAAAACGACAAATTACTGTGAGTAATAGAGAGACTTTTGAAAGTTCATGTGTACCATAAACCAATGCTTACAGCCCAGTATTTAAGGTATAACTCTCACCAGTCTCTGGAGCACAAATTGGGTATTATTAGAACGCTACAGCACCATCTCCTCAGAGCACAGTCCCCCCCCTCCAGGATCCTCCAGGATCCAGAAGGTTAATCACTGCCTGCATAAAAACTGTTGGTGATCCCTCATGTCAGGGGTGTCCAACTCCAGGCCTCGAGGGCCGGTGTCCTGCAGGTTTTAGATGTGTTTGATCCAACACAGCTGATTTAAATGACAAAATTACCTCCTCAACATGTCTTGAAGTTCTCCAGAGGCCTGGTAATGAAATAATCATTTGATTCAGGTGTGTTAACCCAGAGTGAGATCTAAAACCTGCAGGACACCGGCCCTTAAGGCCTGGAGTTGGATACCCCTGCCTTATGTGAACAGCTGAGACAGGCTTTTTGAAAAACACAGCATCTCTGTCACTTTCGCCAAAAAATGGTCCACTCCAAGGACCCCAGGTCTCTCGGAGTAAACAGAATAATATAGTGTACGTCATTAAGTGCCAGGAGGACTGCTGTTTATCATGCATCAGGGAAACCAAACAACCTCTCGCTAAACACACAGAAGACATGCTTCCTTGGGGTGGGACTCTGCAGTCTATTGAACCTGCAGGCCAGTGGCCAATCTTTCAATTATGAGGAAGTGCACATCCTGGGCAGGGAGCAACACTGGTTAGAGTGAGGAGTCAAGGAAGGCGAACAACCATAGTACATCTGTCACCTTCTTACAGTGCCGTGATTGCAGCCACTCCCAAGTAGGGCTGGGCCATATTATACCGTTCACGGTAATACCGGTATAATGTTAGGCAACGATAGGAAAATGAAATATCGCGATAGAATGGGAGTAAAACGCGCATGCGCAGTGCCTTTGTTTTCATACGCACATGGCCGATTGTTGAGTGAAACAGATGAACCAGAATTGGTTTGTAAAAATGGTGCAACTTCCGTGATGTGGAACTGGTTTGGTGTTTGTCCGTCAGATACACAACAAAGCACATTTTTTTGCAGAACATGCAAGCGGCCGTTGTTATTGTCATATTTGTCGGACTAAGATGCTCTTAAATCTGGGAGTAATCTGGGTCCTAAACTCCGTCTTTTTCAGGTCAAACAACACTGCAGCATCACTTAGAGTTAAAAACTGTATAAATTCTTTCATCTTTAATAAAACGATCAGCATTGCTGCTTTACCAGGTGTAACTATAAAGTTTAACTTCCAGGCATCCATGAAAACAAAAGTTATTACATTTAACGGAGTTAGAAGTTAGCAGGAAGCTAGCGGAAGTTAGCTCGCTAGTTTCGCTAGTTACCTAAGCATGATATTGTATGTTCTGACTGAGAGATTTCTGAAAAAAATCAAACGTACAGCTCTGCTATCACTTCCAACATAAATGAAGACAGGAAACTAAACAGCAGTGACGTTTGTAGGGTTACTGAAGTTGGGCTAGCTGGTATATAATGATGTGCTACGTGATCGCTAGCGACACAGCTATGTTAGCATAACATAAACAGTGAAGCTGGAGGACGAACACTAACACTTTTCCACTTATAAAAGTTAACGTTAAAGTTCCTGATAGTTAGAGACAAATGCAATCGCATGGCAGGATGCTGTAAACGGACCAAACTTCAGTCAGGAGAACAACTGAGATAATCCATCCACAATACGAGGTTAGTCATTAATATACTGCAACAACATGGGAATAGAGCAGCTGCCAGAGAATTCACCATTAATGAATCAATGGTACAGAAGTGGAGGAAGCAAGAAGAATGAGTTTAATAAAGTTTGATTTATCTGACTGCTTTGTTTCGCTTAATGTGCCTTATAATCCTGTGCACCTTATGGTCCGAAAAATGCGTACTGCACACTGCAGTTTAATGTTGCAAAGCACCTCTTTTTAACTTCAGTGGATATTATACATGGTTATGCTCAGGATGTGTCAGCCCATTTCTACTGGAAATGCCTTTTGGTTAAACTTTCAGCAAGGAATTTGCATTTGCACTGTTTCATTTTTATAAAGCTTTAATGTACATAAAAACCAGCTTCTTGTTTAAGTGAAAATAAATGGAAGGTTGTTTTTTTGCGCTAGTAATGTTGTGGAGTTGTATTTTGTCTCGCATCAATTATATCGTTGGTTATATCGTTATCGCAAATTTTCAAATATATATCGTGATAAATATTTTTGGCCATATCGCCCTGCTCTACTCCCAAGCTCACTGTAAGTCGTACTGATTAATGTTCATTATGACTAGTTTACTGCATAAACCTTCAGAAAAACGAAAATAAAATTGAAAATAAAATACTTATCAGCAAAAGGCCCCAGATTTAAGAAGTTAAATGCCTCTGAGCTGAACTGCATTCATATTATGTAAACTGAGCAAGTCCCATTTGTCCACTAAGGCAGTTATGCCATTAAATCGAAGTGAGTTTTTCATCTGCTCCAATACAGAAACTATATTATACAATTAAATTATGCCTAACAAAGACATCATCATACATCTGGCTAACAGAGTTACACTTCTGGTTTCTCATATTACTCTAGCCTGGATCTGGCAAATGTAAATGACTGTACAAGTATGAATAAATACAGCAGTTAATCTATTAAAGTGTGCTGCAGTTCACTGACCACACACAGTCCACTGTGGAGAGCACGAGCTTGTTGTGTCCGAGGCCGCTGTAAAACTTGTCGGAGCCTTTTTTCAGAAAATGAACCGCCATCTCAACTCCCTCTGAGCCAAACAGTTCCTATGAAACAGAACAGGCAGCAAACAAACACAGACTCACCAGATATCCAACTAGCCAGTTCTAAGCGCTTTTATTAAGTTAGCAATATGAGCTTTACCTTTCTGTGCATGTCGGTCTCACACAGCGTTGAAAGGATCACCTGAATATCCGACTTTATCTCCAGAGCGACGACATCATCTTCATCAGGACCCGCGTCTATCTGCATGAGAATCCCTGAGGAAACACGACAGCTTTGACTCTACTGAATTCATCAACAGTAAATGTTGATATTGAGCATGTGTCATGTGTCCAGTCCAGTCACCCAGAAGCTGGTTGATGATTCCCTGATCACAGAGGTCCTGGTTTACAGACTCTTCACCCAGAGAAGTCACCGATCTCAGCACTCTGATACAGTGCCGCGTCTGTGCCTTCTTACCGCCTCTGCCTCCGGTGGCGTGGAAGCTGTGACCCTGGCCAAAGTAAGAATCTGAAATAAAGGAGAGAATATAGTTACTGACTGATTGTTCAGTTTGTGAAAAAGTTTGCGAACCCTTTAAGATTTTGTATATTTCTGCATATATTTTCTTTGCAAGCTCCTTTGAATATTTCTGCATAGATATTATCTAAAATATAACAAGTGTTTTACCCATTTCCTAAATACAGATAAAGAAAACCTGATTAAAAATTCAAATGAAAATGTTTCATTGGACTTTATTTAATGAGGTGTGTATTACATGGATTACATACTTCATTAAAAGTCAAAAGCATGTGAGAGGAGTTGAAATGTGTATTATTTAAGAGCTATTTTTGGTTAGATTTGGGGGTGTGATTATGAGGTATTTTGTAAGCTGTGAAACTAGTTAAACTATCAGTTGCATTAAAAAATAACCTTTAAGAGACAAAAGAAGAGTATGATAAAGTGTAAGAGATAAAAGCTGTTTAAATGTCTGTTGCGTAGCAAATCATGGTCATGACAAAAAGTAAGTGTATAAGTGACTTTGTGTTTGGCTCAAATACACTCTGATAGGACACTGCAATTCCCTTGACCTTTAACCTTTCAGATACAGTACAGATTCTGCTTGGTCTTGTTTTTCTTGTGTTTCCTAACCTGGCCCAACACACCAGTCCAGCAGGAGTAGCAAACAGGTACTCCCCTCACAGGAAATGTACTCCTCCAACATGAGCGGCCCGATGGTGGCGAGGGTGGCCAGCGCCTGCAGCTGGAGCTCCTCCTTTTGCGCAGCGGACCAGTGTCGTGACCCCGACTGACACTCAGACGAGGAGGCGACAGGCGGCTTCATGAGCGCCAGCAGAGCCAGAACAACACGTTCTTCTTTATAAAGCTGAGAGAAGAAAACTGAGTCATCACACAGGTTATCCAAACTTAAACAATAACTGGGTGAGCGTGTGACTGACCTGCAGGGCAGCCAAGTCCCTCGACATAACAACCAGTAGATTCAACAGCAACTTCTTCATTTTCAAGTCTTCGTTACTATAGCTGAGCTTCAGGTTGCGGATCAAAGGGTTGTGACTTTTCACTAAAACATAAATAAAATAAGCAGTTTTATTTTCATAAAAGATGCTACTGTATTCATGAATAATGAAGTCATTTGTAAAAAAGTGTGTAACATTTAAAGGATCGAGTGCCCTCACGCTCTGGAAATGTGCTGAAAACCACAAGCTGTTTGGCAAATGAACTCTCCTGAAAATTAGAAACACCTCAAATTATTAAAGAAATTCATAAAAACACCCGGTGGGTGAAAAAAAGTAACAAATTACAATTCATTAAACTGTCCTGTACTCACAATAAGCTGTGAGCCTGGACTTTCTGCAATGAGAGTTGTGATCACGAGCAGATCGTTTCTGAGTTGGAGGTCTGAATGTCCAGAGCCGGTGTTCAGCAGGTGAAAAAATGCTTCTTTCAGAGAGCTGAGGAACAAATAAAGCCAAAAGTCAGCTATCAAAGGATAAATGACAGCACAAAGGCCTGCCACATAAGGAACACACAACCAACAGAAATCAGATGAATTACAAATAATTAAACTTTTCCATTAAAAATGATGGTTTGGCTAAAATCAGAGCTGCAGGCATTTCAATTATGTAAAATCATTACACACAACAAAAGAATGATGTATTTGTTATGTTTATTTCATTGTAGTTCTGTATTTCTTCCCTAGTCTTTTAAAGGTGTGTTGATTGTTCGAGGCATTTAATAGATTAGAAAAACATTGTACTTAAAATCTTGAAATTTTTGTGAAGTAAACTCCAAGGAATTTTCCCTTATGCTGCCTCATTTAAAAGATTCTACATCCATCAGGCACATCGTGCACATTTAAAAGCATCTTAAATGAGGAGGACACGCGTACAGGACACACTCCAGGGTGCCGAGCTGAGCGGTGACCACCTCCTTGTTGCCCCTCTCCAGCAGGTTCCAGAGGATTTCGGAAGAACGGAACAGGACCTGGCCGGACGGATCGTGGTCGTTCATGTGGAGACATACCGTCTCTGCTCCTCGTGCGTGGAGTATTGACGAACAGTTCATATCTGTGGTTGTAAAGTGAAACATAGACGTGTGTAACCCAGTAAATAACCCAGTTATTTTAAGGACACTTAAAATCATCATTGTCCGAAAGTCTGATTTATGTTCTTGAGAGCTGGCTACGTTCTCCAATGAAGGAGGTCATCTGCTCCTCCCCTTCCCTCCCTCACTGGCTCTGCATTGAAATAAATGACTGACCAGAGCAGCTGGAGAGGATCTGAAGGATGTGAAGGAGTTGCAGTTTGATGGTGGGCTGGTTTTCGAGAGTGGCCATGGAGAGGAGAAGTGTCTGAGCCAGCTCACTGCGCTCCAGCAGCTGCAGCCTGTAGCCTGGAGAGGTCGGCTGGAGGCCTGAGGAAACAGAGCAGAAACATTATTAAATACAACTATAAATGTTTAAATGCCAGGTTCAACATCAGGGAAGAAACAAGCTAAGAGATCATTATAAGCCATTTAAAGTGGATTTATTAAGGTGATTTCAGCCATAGCGCAATCCCTCACATCAGCTTCTGTTTAAAACAAGTAATTTTAGCCCTTTTCCTCTTACCCCAACCTCATCCTGATTGGCTGACCCTCACAAACAGAAGCAGGTGGTGCTTCTATGCTTATATGCAGAGTTGTGCAACTTATATGAACATATTAGAGTTATCAGCCTTTACAGAGCCAGGAGATGAAAAAAAGGCTTTTGTCAAACATGGATTAATTTTTCATACAATCTCCTCATTACCCAAAACTTTGAAATGTTAAAAATAATCATTAAATATTCTTATTGATTATATTTTCTTCTTTTTTTCCCCTTGAATTATGTATAAATGCCACATATTGTACAATTGTATATATATTTCATGTGAGCTTGTTCTTTTTTCTTTGTTCGGAAGAGAGTAGAGTGGGAGGTGAGGGTGGGGGAAAAGGGTTTCTATTACAACAGCATATTATTGGAAACTACCTTTGTATGTTGTTGCAAAAGTAATAAAAAATATTTAAAAAAAAAATCATTAAAAATTCTAAAAGTGTGCATAAAACAGAAATTAAGAAATTAAATTGTCCACTTTAAGGAACAAGACAATTACACTAATAACTAAAGAGGAATCAACATTAAAAAAGTCATGCCATGGTCAGAAAAAAACCCCCACAAATTAGATTCAGATGAAAATAAAAATTAGAGTCGCACTAAACATGAGTTTCTGGAACAAATGATGGTCAATTACTTTATTAAAGACTAAACTAACAACAAAATATATAAGTAAAAATGAGCCCTTGTACTGACCAGCCACCTACTTCACACTGGCGATATGCCTCTTGAAAGTCTACCCAAAACACTCTTTTAAATTATCAGAAAAATAACTTACCAATCCTTATTTCAGCCTCATATTTGACAGATTTTATGATCTATTCAACTTGTGCTATAATGTGTTCAAAAACTTTATCTCTTAATCCTGAACAGCCTCATAGGACACTGGGTACGGCTGTAAGCTCATGTACATATCTATATGAAATCTAACCAATTCTAATAAAGAAAACATGAAGAAAACAAATGAAAAGAAAAGAGAAGAAACACAAAGGACAAAGAAAAGCACAAGCATGCCACCACAGACGCCATGACAGAGCCTCACTTAGTGAAAGTCTAGAAAATCGGTTGTTAGAAGGGAAAGTCCGAGGCTTTCGTGTGGTACCATCCGTACCATCGAGCATCTGTTTGGGAGCCACAGAGCTGTAGAATGATTTCACGCATTCAAATATGAGCTGCCTCACTTCGGCATCAGACACTCTCATCAGACACCCTGCCAAGAGAAACACAACTCAGAAGCGCTCCATGTCGTCATTCTCATCTGAAGAACAAAAACTTCAAATGATTAAACATTTCTTAAAATTTAATAATCTATATTTCTGAGTTGTTTTTAAAAATTCACATCTTTAGAGGGAGCTAGCTTGTTTTGAATGTCATGCAGCATGTAAGGTTAACATGCCATAGCAGAAATCTTTCGATCATTAGGTTTGTAAAAATGTGATCATGTATTGCAAACAAGACCATTAAAAACCAACTAAAATAATAAAAATGTTTCAAAATTAGAAGCTGGAATTATGAAATGTTTCACAATTTTGTTCCTGTTTTGAATTTTTAACACTCTACGATCAAATAATGTTACTTTCTGTCTTTTTGTTTTAAAAAAACCCAACAACATAATTTGCACCTGTATATATATGTATTTAAAGCAGCAGTGACTGGCCAATCTGCGAGCCCTTTATTACCCATATGAGAGAGAAACTCTGTGACATCCTGAGCGTAGTGCAGCTCGTCAGATGTCTTCTCCTTCAGAAAGGGAAGCCTGAGACGAAAGACAGCAGCACTCTGATGATCAGATCATCTTGTGAGATAAAATATGAGCTGTTTGCTTGAAAGGGTTTCTTACCTACAAATTGTAAGAGCTTCACACAGAATGGACACATATTCGGGGTGATCTGTCACCTTCTCTGCGCAGATGTTGAGTATTTTTGCGATGGCTGTCAGTTCTTTTAAAAGCTTCAGACAGTTAAAGAAGTTTTTGGCAGATTGTTCACTCATGCAGAGCTAAATCCCGATAAGGGAGGGGAGGTGATGGGTCATTGTGATAACTGAGCCTATTTCTGAACAGAAAATGCTGACAGAAAGAGTGATGCTGTGATAAATTAGAGCCTTGGGACCAATGTTTGGTTTTGTGTTTACATGGTATGAGAGCAGATCTATTTCCATCACTGCAGCAGGGGACCATAATGAGGAAAATTTGACAATCTGCTGCGCTGTGTGACGCATGAGAGGGATTTCTTAGAAAGACAGTCTACAATATGAGAAAAAAACCGAAAGGATACAAAGCCAATTTGGCTTTTCTTCAGTAGTTTCTTCAGAACAAAAAGGTGCCTTTCCTTCAAGTTAGTCTTTAGTAAAAATAGGGGGATTAAATGCACTATATGTGTAATACAATAGCAGAAAAAAGAGGACTGGCATTCAGGTTTTTAACTTACTGTCAAAGGATCTTCAAGAAGACAAATCACCTTACTGAGATCGAGACTTTTAGCATTAACCTGGAGAGGAATTTAGGTTATAGTTTAGGCTGGGATATAATTTGCAATTTCTGAAATGCTCAGAAAAGTTAGAAACAATTTAACAGCAACACTATTGTGTTCAGCTGTTGATGCTTTAAATACCTGTAAATCAGGCGTTATCACACTCTAACAATGTCATTTACTTTCCCGGTGGAGACATTTCCAAACTGCTCACCTCCTGATGGCGGTGGCTCTTCTGGGATGCTTTCAAACCAATTACAGGGATCCCCGGCTTTCTTCTGTGCACAACTTTTCCCGAATCCATTTGTAAATTTAGAACCGCTTTCTAGCTTCAGTTTTTAAAGGCTAAAAATTAAAAAAAAATTAAACATTCTCCTTTTTTAATACCTGCTGTTTTTGTTTTCGAACAAACGTGCTAACGATGCTCAGCCTGAACTTATGTAGCTTTTTAACAATCACCTCTCCTCTTCTTCTCTCCGTTTGTTGCCAGTCTGACAGCGTACTGCCGTTGCTATGGTTACCCTGGCAGTACGGAGAGCGGCAGAGTTCAAAAATCAGAGCGACACGCCCATTTCCTCTTCAAAACCGGAAGTGGTATTCTGGAAACGACAGCGCATTGATTTTCGTCCCCACAACAATAAAATAGAGACAAAACAACGATTAAAAGCAAAAAGGCGTCTCAGAATTTCACTTGGACGTCGAGGGCTTGAAAGAAACCCCGCGGGCAGCCATGCTGTCGGACGCAGGTCAGTGCTAAAGAGGCGCCGCTGCTGCTTGCTAGGTGCTAAAGTGACAGCTGACGTTGTTGGGCAGATTTAAAGAGCTGGCTAATGTGCGCGTCTTTGCTATGTTTACATACCAATTGGCCTCGTGTTTCGGTCGCTTTTTTCAGCTATTTATAACCTGAGTGAATTCTATGTTTTTGCACACGTGTTCTATGTCATAAATATTTTGTCGACGTTAATAGAGGCCCGAGCTGCACTACACAGTCACTATTATATTGTTGTCATTGGTGTTAAGACTATCCCGGTAATGCTTCTGGTGCACGGAGAGCCAAGAAGAGGAGCTCCGGGGAGTCACCAGGGGACGGACAGACACTGCGCTCCTCAGGAAGGCAGGTCAACGTCCGGGTGAAGCGCACCAACAACCCTCCACCTGGTCAGGTAAGGTACACAATGAGTTAATATAATGACTATATCTCGGTTAAGTTTCAGTTCGCATTCATGCAAAGTAGGGTCACACAAAGGTTTCAGTTTGGTTTTTAATGTTTCCAGGTGTGCAGTTTTAGGTAAATGTTGCTTTTATTATTATAGTTTCACTCTGTTCAAGGAGTGAAACTATGGAACAAACTGAATATGGAATTAAAGCAATGTCCAAACATAAAACTGTTCAAAAAGAGTTATAAAAATATGATCTTCTCGATCTATAAAGAAAAGGAAAATATTTAAATTAAGTGAATGTCTCTATTTAAAAACAAACAAACAAAAAATTCATGATGTGATATTATAGTATATAGTATATCAGAAATCTGTTCACTATTTTTATTACAAATTATATCAGTAAGGAAGCTGACTAAATATTCACTGATAATTTATGGGACAGGGGTGGGATTAAATAAGTGTATACTTCTTCCCACTCCCTTTCAACATGTAAATTAATCAGAATGTTTTTTTGTATGTAATTTGTATAGTATATTTTTTTTCTCTCATTTCTTTTCTAAATGTACTTGTATATTGTTCACATGTTGAAATAAATTACCAATCAATCAATCAATCAATACTAGAAGGTTACTTTTCAGGGGGCAGTGTTTAAGCAATTCATCAACAAAGCACTTTTTAAAGCCAGTTGACTGGCAGTGATGTAGACGTAGAAGTCTTAGTCAACATACCACCAACACACCTCATGAAGTTATGAGGATTTGCCCCTTGACCTCTATTGAGGTTGTTGGGCCACCACTCTCTGGGTCTCTGTCGGGTTCATGCCTACCTGTTCACAGATCTTATCCACCCATAATCTTAATCTGTCTGTTTTGTCTCTGCATTCACTTAACTGCTCCTTGCAGTATGATTTTCACAAGGCCTGAAAAACCAGAGACACTCTCTATACCATCTCAAGTTGCAAAGCAATTATGCAGACCTTTTATACCTGTCACAGGTTTTGGGCATGAGATCTTCCTGTAGCATCTCAATTTATGCTACGATTCTTCTTACGGTTTTGCCGTAAGAAGACACTACTGATACTCAAAAGACAACGGAGCACAGCAGGTAGACTTTGGATCGGAGAGATGTTTTTGTCTCTAGATTCCCGTAACGCTTGCTATGACAGCTGTGTTATCCTTGCCAAAACCTTAGGTTTTGAGCTTTCATTTGATACAGTATGACAGGACCAAGGTACTTGAAATCCTTCATTATTTCTAGTCTTCTCCAGCTAACTTTAACCAAATCCCATAATTTACAGGGAGATTCCTAAGCCCCATATATAATATGTGCACCACATTGTTCAAATTCAATTTATGCCCATAGTCAGAATATGTATTTCTATATATATTGTCTTCCTGAAGTCTGTCTCAAAGAAATTACTTTAAAAACCAAGGCTAGTTAGAACTGTCCAGTCAAAGCAACAAGATCCTAGGGTTGAAGCTAGGCTACGGCTTTTCCATGTAGTGTTTGTATGTTGGCCTGCATGTGGTTGTCTTGGAGTGTATGTTACGTTAAATTGTGATTGTGAATTGGACATAGGAATGAATGTGAGTCTCATGATATTTCATTTTTCTCTTTGGATTACAGAGCAAAAGAAAAGCCACAGACACAGAGGAAGAAGATGACCAGTCTGAGAAGAAGTACAGAAAATGTGAGAAGGCCGGGTGTTCTGCCATGTACCCTGTTTGTTTTGCAAGCGCATCTGAAAGGTAACATCAGATGTCAGGTAAATCAGATAGTTACTTATATCACTTTTTACAGTTCTCAAACAGCACTTCTTGTCTCTTTTCAGATGTGCTAAAAATGGGTACACGTCACGGTGGTATCATCTGTCATGTGGGGAGCATTTTTGCAATGAGTGTTTTGATCACTACTACAGAAGGTGAGACAAATGCAGGCTAAAGATATCAACAGTGTTTCTGTAGCACTGCTTAAAACACCTCTAAGTTGTTTACAGTGATTTCTGCTACATTAAGTTGAGAAGATGGATATTTTATGGTTTCCATCATCTTAGAAATTTAGTGGCACGCTTCCCTCTCTCGTTTGCAGCAATCTATTTAAAAATAAATGTTAACATACCAGGAAGGCACACAATTACAGTTACATACAGACAACATTTATAACAGCAAACTGCTCCCTGCAAAAAGAAGCATATTTAAAAGGTGTAAAAGAAAAGAAACTGCAGAACCCTCAACAAACAACTGTTCTGACTGACACGTGGTTTAAAAAGCTCAGAATTTCACATCAATCCACTGACAGTCAGATTAATGCATCATGTAAAGTGTTACAGATGTTGTACTGATTGGCTGCAGTGCTGAGTGAAAAAAATAAACATCTTAATGTACCAGTGGATCTACATTCCTACTCTCTCTAATTAATGCAAGCAAAGAGAAGAAACCGATATGGATACAAGCAATGGAAATGAGTGTCTTCTGAAGAGTATCTGGGCTCTCCCTTAGAGACAGGGTGAGCAGTTTAATCATTCAGGAGCAAGTCAAGACTAGAGCGGGAACCCCTCCACATTGAAAGGAGCCATATGATGTGGTTCAGCATCTGATTGGCACATCTAGGATCTGTTTCACGCTTATCAGACTGGGAGGAGATCCCAGGAAAAATTTAGGACATGCTGGAAAAAGTATGCCCTATGGCTGGTTTGGGAATTCCTTTGTGTCCCCTCAGAAGAACTAGAAGAGGTGGCCTAGTTGAGGGAAATCTAGACGTCAATGAAACTGCTGCTGAAAGGATAATTGGATGGATTGATATTATTCTATCTTTTTTTCCCTTCAATGTTCTTTCTAGAAGGGAGGAAACCAGTGTATAACATTTAATCTGAGTTTTTTTTTTCTTTCCCCATATCAGTGCTGTTTGATTTTTGCCACTTGCTTTGAGTCATTAAATTATAAGCATGTATCGCTGTATACACGCAAACCTGAAACAGCCGTGGGTTCAGTGACATTACTTTTGAAATAATCTTGTCACATGTTCCTCAGACCTATTTACATTGTTTCTGCACTACCAAACTGTGAAGCTGTGAGTTACTTGTCAAAATAATTAGAATAACTTTTTTTTTTTGCTCCTTCACTTCAGTCACAAAGACGGCTTTGAGACCTTTGCTTCGTGGAAGAAAGTGTGGACTAGTAATGGGAAAAGTGAGCCCAGTCTTAAAGCTTTCATGGCAGATCAGCAGCTGCCATACTGGGTATGTATAAGAAGCTTTTCTGGTTCTAGATACATGTATTAACTGTTCACACATATGACACGTAGCTACATGTGTGAACAGTTAATACATGTATCTGGTTCTAGATACATGTATTAACTGTTCACACATGTAGCTACGTGTCATAAATACTCTCATGTTCATTTCTTTCAGGTTCAATGCACCAAACCCGACTGCAGGAAGTGGCGCCAGCTGACCAAGGAGATCCAGCTCACTGCCTCCTTAGCAGCAGCATACCGCTGTGGGATGAAGTTCAACAACATTAAGGTAAAGAGGGAAAGATATAATCATCGATCCCCATCAAGACAAAAATCTATTTTTCTGATAAAAATCTTGCTCATTTGCCTACAGAGCGAGGAACCCGACCAGTGCTCCCAACCAGAGGACTTGGTAAGCTAGTTGTGTTTGCTAGAATCTGTTTGAGGACAGTGTGTAAACTTTACAAGTTACTGCATTTGTTTAATGCTGAGCTGTTTTATTCCTGAAGAGAGTGGCAGAGGTGACGGACAGCTGGTGGCATTCAATGCTCATTTTGCCGCCACTGTTTAAAGACAGCCCAGCCAGCCCTTTCCTCACTGCGTACTACCCCGACTGTGTGGGGATGAGTCCATCAGGTTCTTCTAGCAACATGTCTCTGGGCGAGCTGAGGGCGGATCACTGCAGAGCTGCTCAGCCTCAAAGTAAGTCTGAGTTCAGAAGAAATGCCATATTTAAGCACCTACTATTCACCATGCTATTTTTTTTTTACACATAATTACTGTTTTGTGTCCCCATTGGAGATCCTGATCATTATTATGTCCCTCAGTTCCAGGCTTGTGTCCATACTTCCAGCCCTTCTACCAGCCAAATGAGTGCGGAAAGGCTCTGTGTGTGCGGCCTGATATGATGGAGCTAGATGAGCTTTATGAGTTTCCAGAGTTTTCCCGCGATCCCACCATGTATCTGGCTCTGCGTAACCTTATCCTGGCCTCCTGGCACAAGAACTGTAAGGTACAACAAAGCCAAAAGTGACCACTGGGGTCATTTAAAATCTCAAATAAGGGTGAAAAAGATCACTCAGAATCACCAATGTTTTTTTTAATTAAATTTTATT